GTATTGGAGTCACCATCATTAGGCCACATTATCCTGGATTTAAGTTTCCAGTAGTCTTCTTCTATCTTTAGAATATCATTGAACTCATGTTGAAGATCTAATTCTATTTTTTTTTTAGGAAAGAGCTGGTAGCGTAGCTATTAGAAGATTGGATGCCTTGGAGTCTAGCTAAGAGTTTTCTCTTCCTTTCCATGATATTGCCAAAAGTGTTGTCCTTCCAAGGTTTACCATTATCTATAAAGTTAGAGCAAGCCTTAAAGTAGTCACTATTATTCTAGGAGTTTATAACAACAGATTAAAACTCTGGATGTTTACACCAAAAGGTTTCTAGCCTAAAAGGGACCTTATGAGCAGTTCTATTTCTAGGAATTAATTCAACTAGGACAGGATTGTGATCAGAGTGGGTTCTAGGTAGATGGATAATAGAGCTTTTAGGAAAAAGTTCAATCCATTCTTCATTTCCAAAAACCTTATTAAGTCTTTCTAAAATAAGACTCTTATTGTTATGTCTATTATTGGTCCATGTGTATTTGCTTCCCTTGAAGACTAGATCAACTAGGTTACAATTATTAATTTTAGACCAAATATATTTAGCTCTACTATCTTTGATTGGTTTGCCTCCAAATTTCTCACTAGCGGTTAAAATGTCATTAAAATCACCACCTACTAGACAAGGTTTTTATAAGTATTACTAATATTTTCGAGGTTATCCCAAATGATATTTCTATAATGAATATTGGTACTAACATAAATCGAAGTAAAGAGCCAAGGTTTACGTAAAGGATGTACCTCTATGGTTGCATGGATCTCCTGACCTCTTCTAACAACATTTTGGACGTTGATTATATCATCCATCTACATTATAACCATACCACCTGACTGCCCCTCCGATGAAACTTCTATCATCTCAGTGAAACCAAATTCATTGAGCATGGCAGCATGGTTGTTCATCCTTGTTTCCAACAAAGTAACCAAGCTCGGCCTATGAGTATCTAGCATCTCCCTAAAGTTCCTCCTAAAGTTGTCATTGTTTCCTCCCCGTATATTCCATATTATGAAATTATTAGATTGATTCATGTCTAAGTTAGAGTCAGTGTTGGTCATCTCCCCATTCTCCCTTATCTCCCCCACTTGGACAGGGTTCCTCCTCATTGATGGAACTAGGATCATTGCTTTCTTTCCCACAGTGGGGTCGTGTGGAGGGTGAATATCCATCGAGCACTTGTATAGGGCTAATGGGCAGCTGAGAATATACCTCTTCTCGTGCCTCTCCGTGAAGAGAAAGATTTTTATTCCGTCTAGGTTTGAGAGTTCTAGGGTTGGCCATAAGTGAAGATTTAGGGGGACATCGTCCTCCTCCATCTCTGCCTCCACTGCCCTGGTATGGGGTCTTCTTGTTGTTACGGTGGGGGTACTGGTGGTGGAGGGGGGGGGAGGGTACCATCCCTTGGTTCTTTAGATTGACATCTCAAGGGATAAAGATGGGGTTTAGGTGGGTGTACATCTCCGTTAGAAAAATGGGAGGTCTAGTGGTGTATTTAGAGGGTGTATGGGGTTGAATTGAGGAGGCATATTCCATTGTTCTCTCATTGTTTGGGCCATTTGAGGGTTCAATGATGGAGCCATGGGATGAATGACATTGTTGAGCCATACTTGATTGAGATAATTGTTCATTGCCAATCTCATTTCCTCCGTGATAAGTTGAGCTAGATATTGAGTATTGTGCAAGATCACAATGGCTTCTTGGCTGTTGATCGGCACTGTGAACGAGAGTGCATGACCCATGATCCCTAACTCCATCAAACTCGTGGGTTGATAATCTTGTGCTTGGGAAGGTTAAGCGTAAATAATTTGGGGCTGTTCGTGGGGATAGAGGGGGGAATGTTTTCCATTTGGAGAGGGTGTCATTGTCTCAGGATTTGGATTAGTCGAGTTCTTCTCCTTAGGGTTGAAGGAACTCTTGGCATTTTGGTTAAAACAAGTTGAATTTATTGCACTAGAAGTTGGCTTGGGATTTTGGGTAAGAGGAGAGGTTAGCCGATTGGGTGGGCGAGGTGATGATTGCTTCGTTTTTGTCTATGGCTTTTGATTGCCCTAGGTCATGTTTTATAGAACACTTAAAGGTTTTGTTTGAATTACCAATGAGAATGTCCATTTGGCTACTTTCTTCTATGGTCTTTGCCATTTGGTCAACATGCATGGAGGGGGAGATCTTGTCATATCTTAAGGAGGGATTTTGGGTAGATTCTTTAGATAATGAAAGATTTTGGAGAGATTTCGGTTTAAGAAGGGGGTTTGGGGCAGTAAGGGTAGGATTAGTGGTAGGGGTAGATTTGTCCATACTAGAGTCATTTTGCATGGTATTGATTTTCAATAAAGAGTTGACAATATAAGGTGTCACGGTGGAGTCTTGCTTGCAAGTATCTTGTGTGTCAAGATCCAATTCATTATTTAATTGATTAAAACTATTTTTACTAATAAAATTGACATTATCCATAGTAGTTTGTGTCAAAACCATTTGTCTCTCTTCTAAAAGGTAATTTTTCATGTGAGAGGTAGTTTGATCAATAGTCGATTCTGGATGGGTAATGACAGGAGGAATTTGATTATTAAGAGGATTAAATTTTGTTTTATATTGGAGTATTTGAGTAAACAAGAACTTACCTATTTTTTGCATTGAATAAATTAATCGGAATACCTGGACCTTGGTTGCCTTTTGCATGGATGGTGGGCATTTGATTTGGAGTTTTTTTGCCTTGATTCTTCTTCTTATTGAAGGAGACAGTTTTCTATTCAGAGTCACAAGCATCTTGTGTAGCTACTTGTTGATGTTTTTGTCCTGCATGGTGAGGATCTAAGCTTTGCATTTTGATATAGGTGCATTGTCTTAGTGTGTGACCAAAACGGCCACAATTTTTGCAAAGAAAATCCTCCTCTTCATAGAGTATATCCTGTTTGAGGTCTCCAACAAATAGGAAGGATTGAACTGGAATTTCCAAAGGGATTTCGACACAAATCCTTGCATAACGACCTCTTAGGGTTGTTGAGGTGCATGTATCAATTTTCAGTAGGCGTCCTATTGCATTACCAATTTTTGCTAGGATTTTACCATCGTAGAATTCAGTTGGTAATTGGGGCAGCCTTACCCAAACTGCTGAGGTAGTTAGTTTTTCATTTCTAGCCACAAAATTTGATTTCCATTTGGAGATAGATAGGAAATGACCATTGATAAACCATGGCCCTAGGTGAATAACTTTATCCATGTTTTCTTTCTTTGTGAATTTGATAATGTTATAGTCCTCACCAAGATCAATTAAAGAGAAGTCCTCTGTTGGTTTCCATAGATCTTGGATCTTCCGCTTTTAGGTAATGGTGTAGCATACGTTTCCCTACTAACTTGATTATAATAGAGTATTTCCATGGCTCATAGATACATTGTCTATCTTCCAATGAAAGAGAGGTTTGTATAGCTTCACCTAGAGTAGTCCCTGGATCATGCACTACTTTTGTGTCTTCCACTGCCTTTGTTGGTTCAAACATATCATCATGATCTTTGGAAGGAGTGAAAATTGTTAGGTTAGATTTCAATAATTTATCCTTAAAGGATATTGGTCTTTCCAGATTGTTTGGTAAGGGAGGGTGTTGGATTAAATCTGGTGATTTTGGGGGAATAGTCTCTTGTTTCTCAAGGGGTTGAGAATGCATTCTAGAGAGAAGTTGGAGTTTCTTAGTCTTTCCTAACATGGTTAATGTCATATATCAAAATGGAGTAAAAGAATTCACTAGCTAAAGATTTTTTTATATTTTTAGATAGCCAAATAAAATGAATTTTTAATTAAGAATAATATTTTCAATTACATTATTATAAAAATAATTATTATTGAAAAAATAATGTTTTAGAAACTGAAATTTTAAGAAAGAAATATTTTTTAAGAGATATCAACACACCAAATAAGAGTTCAAGCAGTAGTAAAAGAGTTATCCAAAGAGTCATTCATTGGATCAATATTTGATTGTTTTGCCATAAATATGAGTTATTATTTTGCTTCCTGACTATTTTTAGGATCCAATGACACCGACAAGAATGATATCAAAAAAGAAAAATAGAAGAAATAATTAATTTTTTCATGTAGTTAATATCCAATGACTATCTATATTTACTGAGAAAGTGTAAATTTTAAGATTATTTAAATACAATCCAAATAACTTAAATATTTGACATGATTAGTGTCCGCGTATCAACGCGGGTACTAATACTAGTTATTTCAGAAAAGCACAAACTAAGCTAGCGTTTGGCCATAAATTTCAAATTTGTTTTGAAAAATCTGATTTGAGTGAAGTTTGGTTTGAAGATGAAAATGTGTTTGGACATACGTTTTCAAAACATATTTTCTAACTTTATTTTGGAAAAACATGTATATAATTCCCAAGTTTTGGGATTTTGGCCCAAAATTAGCAATTGGGGTGATTTTGGGATTTGGGGTTTTGCCAAAATATGGGCAAAATTTATGGCCAAACATGAGTTTTGAAAATAAATCCCAAATTTATTTTGACAAAATTCATGGCCAAAAAAAAAAAGAAAGAAAAACATAAAAAATTCAATTAAAAATAGCACTAAACCCAGTCGTATGTGACCCGAGAAGCTTGTCCTTCAAAATAGTTGACTTTGTTCTTCTCATAGGCATTTTCATCACGTGGAAGGCGCCGCAGTATTCGGGCCGGTGGATTTCTTCTTCCTCTTTACTTTATTGCGAACAAGTCAAACACAGTCTTGACGATTTGAGACGAAACCCGCCTTAATCCTGGGTCCCACTGCCACCTGTCGCCCACACTTGACGCACCACCTTACGTTTATTTTCTCAAAAATCTTCCCCTTTCTCTTTCTCTACGATTTGACCACACAAACCTTTTCTACACGCATCAAATCGACTTAATTGTTTGCTCTACGTAAGTCTACCATCTTAACTCTTTATATATACCTGTGTCCATTGCATCAGTAAAAAATTTCTTAGACCCTCCAAATCATTTTTTTTCTTTAAAGATTTCACCAATCATATTTCTCTTCTTCTTATCTTGATCATACGCCATTATATTGTTTTTGCTCTTTGCTTTGGATATTTATATTCTTTCTTTGTTTTCTTGATTTATGGACAAAGCTGGATGGGGACTTACCCTTGAAAATATTTCTGATCATCAAGTTGGGTTCTTCAAGAACAAGGCAGTTTTTGGTTTTAACTTAAGTCCTACGTTGAATAACGTGAATATGAACCCTAGGGAGGAGCAAGCTTTTTTTTCATCAGCTGATGAGAAAAGGGTGATGTTAAATGAAGTTGATTTCTTCTCTGATAAGAGGATCAAGCCTATGGATCTTGTTATAAAGAAGGAAGATTCTCATGGTGAAAATACTACGAGTGCGAGGTCTGAATTGTTTGTAAATGTAAGTGATATGATCCACTACTTTTTTTTCTTGTTTATTCAAATTGACCAAAATTGTTCATTTTCTAATAACGGGTCCCTTTAATATATAGACTGGTTTGCAACTTGTGAGTGTGAACACTGGTAGTGATCAATCAACGGTGGATGATGGGATTTCATCAGAGATAGAAGATAAAAGAGCCAAAATTGAGGTAATTATATGAAGACGATAATTTATTTGACCAGAAAATCCTCAATTAAGTTGTAATACTTTCCTTGATTTGGTTATTGAATTACATTTAATTTTATTTTGTCTTAATTCACACCAGTTAGTACAATTGCAAGTTGAACTCAGAAGAATGAACGCTGAAAATCAGCGTTTGAGAGGGATGCTTACTCAGGTCAGCAACAATTATACTGCACTTCAGATGCATCTTGTCACACTCATGCAACAACAACAGATTTCAAGAACTGAAAATGACCACGAGGTATACATTTCCCAAAAATTGTTTTTTATTATACGAGTAATATAATTTTTTAGATTTATTGGACTGTATTTTAGTCTTCAATTGGTAATTAGTTTAAATAGTTTTTTAAGTGTTTTTTAAAATTTTGTTCAGATTGTGGAAGCAAAGCCTGAAGAAAAAGATGGAAATATGGTTCGAAGACAATTCTTAGAGTTAGGTCCAAGTGAGCACATGGACGAGCCATATTCTCTTAAATCCCATTATTCTTCATCAGAAGAAAGAACAGTTTCTGAATCACCTCGGAACAAGGGTATTGGTAGAGAAGAAACTCCAGAATCTGAAAGTAACAAGGTCCCCAAATTGAATTCCTCATACCCAATTGATCAAGCAACAGAGGCAACCATGAGGAAGGCTCGTGTTTCTGTTCGTGCCCGATCAGAAGCTCCCATGGTACATCACTTTTTTTAAGTTTAATTAGTTTGAATGTACTGTTTAAATGAAGAGTTTAACTCTATACACTGACAACATAAAAAATATTTTACACAATTTGACCGTTTATAAGATAATTGTACGCATGTTGATCTCTATGATACATTAATTATAACCCAGTGAAGATGGCAACTAACATGCTAAACTGCATGGATAATGTAAGAAAAATTACTATATTCTGTGTATAACTTATCCTTCAATAAAATATGCTACTGCTACCTAGTTAGCATGTAAATTGCCTTTTATGTATAAAACTTATTCATATATTGGAATATTTGCAGATTAGCGACGGATGCCAGTGGAGAAAATATGGACAAAAGATGGCGAAAGGCAATCCATGTCCCCGAGCTTATTATCGATGCACCATGGCTGTAGGTTGTCCAGTGCGCAAACAGGTACTACCACTAGCTTAACGAAGATTTATACCATCACCTTAAATTGATATACAACATGTGACTTTTGATATCAACCTTGATATAATAACCTGAAATTAGACTAATAAAACCTGTTATAATCGGTTAAATTGCACTGATAGTATAAATTTTGTTTATACTATTAGTGTATAACTTAAAACTTATTATACTACAGTTTGAGTTTGATAAATTGACGTGAAGTCTAAAAAGTTGTTTTCTTTTAATTGTCCAGGTGCAAAGGTGTGCTGAGGACAGGACAATTTTGATTAAAACTTATGAAGGAACACATAACCACCCCCTACCACCAGCAGCCATGGCTATGGCATCAACAACATCAGCTGCTGCCAATATGCTGCTTTCAGGTTCCATGCCAAGTGCAGACGGATTAATGAACCCGAATTTCATAGCGCGGACAATTCTTCCGTGTTCGCCAAGCGTGGCAACTATTTCAGCATCAGCACCGTTTCCAACTATAACATTGGACCTAACTCAGAACCAAAATTCAGTATCGCCTTATCATCAAAGAACTCATCCAACTGCTCAATTTCAAGTTCCTTTTCCAATAGGCCCCCATAATCCAAATTTTATTACTTCAATGCCACCACCACCAATGCCACAGGGTTTACATAACCAATCAAAGTTTTCAGGCCTACAAGTTTCTCAAGACATTCATCGTCAACCTCCACAACATGCACTCAACCAACCATCATTTTCTGACACACTTAATGCTGCCACGGCGGCCATCACAGCGGATCCCAACTTCACGGCCGCTCTGGCCGCAGCCATCTCGTCCATAATTACTGGTTCTCAAAAAGAACAGTAGTAGTTGTGATATCCTTGTAAAACAGTTAATTACTACTCTAATAGTTTCTTCATTGGTTTTCCCTTTTCTGATCTCCGAGGCTATTTTGGGCTGAAACTTGAGGTTAAATATACATGTTCATATCTTTTTGTTTGACGTTGTGTTCGTATCCGGAGGGAAAGGGGTTTTAGGAGACGAATGATATATATTTTCATTCTTTCATTTTGTTACCTTCATAATATTCTGGTTTTGTATTTAGGTATGTACATGAAACGAAGCAGTATATTAGTCGTTGCTTAATCACTTCCCTTTTTTCAATACTGTGCTGGAGCTAAATAAATACCTCTGTGTAAATATTTTTGTTGTACCATTCGATTTCCTAATAGTCTGATTTGAAGAGAAAAAAAATATAAAGAATATACAAAGTTGAGATAGAAAATAATCGGCAAGATACGACAAGAAGTAGCAATCAAATGTTTGAAAGGTATATTTAGATACAATTTAATCAATATAAGGACAGAAATGTTTAACTTAAAATTTGGATAATAAGTTAAATCAATTAAATTTATCGTATTATACCACAAGAAATCGTTTCTATTCAATTGAATCGATCATATTAGTAAAAAGCATATGAGCAAATCAAATTGTTTACCCGTAATACGGTATAGTTGAATTTGTTTCGTGGTTCACTGATTTTATTCCGAAATGATAAATAAATTAAATAAAAATAAGAATTAGCGTTGAAATCAAAAGAAATAGCAAGCCTGGTTCTGGGAGTAAACCTTCCGAGGACAGCGATAATAACAGTACTAGATAGAAAATAAAGTTATATTATTCAGTTTGAGAATAAAATGTAGCATAAGTTTTTTCCAAGGATTTCCTCTATTACAATGGTTGTTGAAACCACTATTTATAGCTATACCTAAAGAACAAGATCCTAGGATCAAACCCCTCTTAAATGACAATAAAAAGGGCCATTGATGAATATGTAACGGTAGGCCATGAATGCCAAAATTCTCTGCAACGGCTGCATGTTTAATACTGAGGAATATTCTTCATTAAATATTATCTGGTAACCAACTTCCGTTTGCTCCCGTTGGCCGTGTTCCCACCGGGATCTACCCGGTACCAACTGAAGCCGTTGTCCTTGGTCTTGATTTTCACTCGATTTATCTTCCGACTGCCTCCGGTTCCACGTGTCACACCATCATTTGAGCATTTAATAAAAACCAATTTTACTCCATACAGTTAGTCCTCCTGCTTTCCGGTGGCACATCGGAAAGTTGGTGAAGGTTCCTTTCTTGGCGGAAAATTTTATGAACCCTCCTGAATAGTTTCTGACGCTTGAAAAAACATGTGTCCCCTCGCATTTAATACCCCGAATACGTGTTACCCCACGATTTAGTAATATTTTTACGGTTTTCGAGCTAATCATGACCACGATTTTAGCCGACTACACCTTTACTTATACGCCTCATTCTTCTTCTTTTGCTTCTAACAACTTCATAAGCTTTCATAACCTCTTTATACTTATCTTTCTTCTGCTTTCATCTCTTTCCGATCTTCTTCAAAAACTCTATCATATCCTTATTATTATGGCTTCCCCTACTAAATCATCCAAGAACTCTGGTTTTCTCTTTGGTGGAGGCCCGAAGAGGAGCAAAGATAAGGAGGTTGATGCTGATGCTGATCCTCCCACGGTGAGCACCATCATACCTAAACATCTGAACATTGCCAAAATTTTTGAAGAGAAGTTCCCCACTTCAAATCCTCGAAGTTGTGCTGTTGGTAAATATCTTTATTCTATTCACCCTTCCAGTATTCTTGCTGTGAAGGAGGACTGTAACTGCTATGCCCTAATATCATTGCTCAAATCTGGTGGAGCAGGTAACCTTCACTAAGAAGGGTTTCATGTACGTTTACACGTACCCCTTAATTTTGGGCCCTTTCTCATTGAGTAGGGGACTTGACCCCGTGATTTTGGAGTTCCGCCAATGGTATCAAGTCTTCTTGGCACAAGTAGGCCCCTTTGTATAGAGAATGGTGGCTAGTCTGTAGTGGCTGTGCTTGGAAACGAGGGAGACCCTCACCTTAGCATATATAATGAACCGCTACTCCACTAAACCCATCTGTGGGGGAGTAATAAACTTCAGCAAGCGTAGCCACCATGCTTTACTTACCAACATGGATGACAACGACCGTGCATGGATGGAGCGGTTTGTCGTCATTGCTACCAGGGATATCATCCCGGCCACAACTCTATCTTTCCCCGAATCCTGGAATCATTCACGCAAGTTCAAAACTGATCTCTTTCCCCAAAAAGGTTGTCCCATGTCATTGTTAACCCTTTTTATTTTGTTATTTTAGCTACTCGGTCTACACCACTAAGGGTTGAAGGCCTTGACCGATGGGTTTAGAAGATTCTAGACGTTACTACGATAGAGACCCGCCGGTGGAAAGAGTTGTCCCCCAAATACGGGTGGAGGGCCAAGAACCACGGTAAACTAACTCTTCATTCATTCCACCTTTGTACATAAGAAAACCCGCTAACCTTACCGATTTGTTTAATTCAGGGTTCCCGCAGGATTCTATTTCCTGCCCTGAGGAGGATGCTTTAGTCGATCCCGTAGAGGCTGCGAGGTCATTACAGGAGGCTCTCACCCAGACCGGTGCCTTTGGGTCTGCTTCTGGTGCAGGTGCTTCCTCTCGGAGTAATCGACTAGATAACAAGCAACCAAAAAGGTGGCGTTCTTCCTCGATTGGGGGTAAAAGTAAGAAAGTAAAAAAAGCCACGCCCGAGCAAACCACAACCACTATGGTTATTGATAATGACGGAGAAGCTAGTGATGGAGAGGATTACCTCCAAAGGAGACAACGATCTTCATAAGCTCAATAGAATACTCAATCTGGAGAGCTTAAAATGCCAACCCAAGGTGAGCTATAGGAAGAAATAGATTTGGTAGAGAATGTTGATTCTCCCTTTTCGGTCGCAATCGTTGCTTTTAGTCTTATGAGGTCGGATACCGGGCCTTTTCTGCCTTTGGTTTGTAAGTAAGCAACAAAAAACACTAACTCTGCCGCAGTTGCTTCTCAACCTACAACACCATTAGCATCATTGCCCTCCACACTAGCTATGCCTTTATCACCAACAACTACTACATATCCTCCACTGGCCGCAGACGCTCGAGAGGAGCATGTCCCACCTCCTTAGTCTCTTGACCATGGGAATTTAGGGTATAACTATTTACCCCATTTTGCAGATCCCCAAGGGAGGAGGAGCGTCTCTCTCGCGGTATCAAAGGAGTGTCACGTGCTATCCAGGCCGGTACAATTTGCAAATTATTTGAAGCTGCTAGCTCCAGAAAAAAGATAATAAGAAAGTACACTCTCTATCAGGGGAGTGTATGTAGAATAACGCCATGCACAATGTAGCAGTGGTACCGTACTTATTTTTTACTGCTTGTTTCTATTCGTCTTGTTACAACAGGGTTTCTGACTTTGATAATTGTTTCGCAGGCCAACTTTCTCACTTCCAAGGGCCTTCAAGAGGGACTTATGTCCGAGCGGGATCAACTGTTGGTCAAGAGGAATCAACTTCCTGCATGCCTCTCGGTACTAGAGGCAAAGGCTGCTGAAGCGGCCGAGCTTGAGGCCCGATTGCAACAGAGTGAGCAGGAGGTGATGTCTCACAGCAAAGAAGCCACTCAACTACATGCACTACTTCAGGATGCAAAGTCTAGGTGGGTTATATCTCAAGATGATTTTCTTGATGCTACTAAGCGCGAGTTTGCCTCCATCGAACGAGCAAATAATTTGGAGGCAGCTTTGAACTCCAATATTGAAGACTGCTACTTCCGTGGAGAAGCGGTCCTGGATGGAAGATAGGTATAAGAAGATCATGAATAAAAATATGGTTCACATAACTACAATCCATAATCTTGATCATAGCCTTAGTGCTATGAGATCTTAGCGGGATGGCCTTTTGATCGAGGTTGATATGCTTAAAGCAAATTTTCAGCACCAAGAGAATTCCCTAACATTATTGATAAAACATACTCTATGTACCATATGAAGAAGAAAACCTTTGAAGTGGCCAAAGTTGGCGTTATTGATATTGATGATAAGATCGCCAATGCCCGAATGCTGGAGTTAACTGCTCGAGAATGTCTCCCGGCTCAGCCTAACTCAATTGACTCTTCTAATGCTGGTTCCGAGTTTTCGGGAACCAAGGAGGATCTTGAACAGAATAATGATGAAGGCCAAGATCCTGCGTCGGTGGCAGATCTACCTACTTCTCACGGGGGCGTAAATGCCTTTCTTCCCTTAAGTTCCAATGGCAATGAAGTTTAGCCTTTTTGCTTTCTTTTCTTTTGTTGTTTTCCTTTTGTATTTTTTAGTACTTGTGCTACTTGGAATGTTTGATAAATAAAAGTAACTTTTGACTAACTATTGCACAAGGTACATTGTTTTTTGTCGAATTAAGTAAGGCTTTAGGTGTGTTTTCTTCTGATAGCTTTTGGGTTCCGGGCATAAATTCTTCCTTAACCAACCCTTTACTATGAGGGTTTCATAAGAGAGGGCCTTCTTATGTTTACGGTGCTCTTGAAGAGGGCATCTCTTGTTCATTCCGGCACTAGCAATTGAAGTTTTCAGTTAACTTTCAAATGATAAATCAGTTCATCGTTTGGACAAGAAAAAAGATAAAATAAAAGGAATTTATTTGTATTCATTCTATCTTCGATGTACATAAGCATTCATTTGCTAAATAAAATTGCTAATACATGTAGCTAATTTGTACAACTTGTTTTCACGGGGCTAGCTGTGCTGTCCCCGGTCTTGATGAGACATTATTGTTCCCGGGTCTCACAGTCCCGATTTTTTTGGCAATCATGTTTCCATATTCTCATACTATTCCCTTAGTATTCAAATGTGAAGTATGTGAATTGGAATACCGGAAGTCTGCTCCTTTGAGGAAAAACACTGGTGAATGGTTTAATAATCTTTGTTCTTATGGCAAGCTTCGTTTCCCATTAGGAATTTTGCCATCGAGATAAAGATTATTTAACCATCTCATAGTGCCTTGTTTTTTCATTGCCTTGTCATTTAAATTTCTTAACTCTGATGATGACGTTTTCTTCGTAGTATGCTTTCCATTGTTGCCTCATTAAAAACCTTGTTAGAAAAATCCAATTGGGACAAAAACTGGGCGAAGGGAATAGGAATGCAGCACATACTCTTAGTATAAGCAGAATCCACTAGCAGTAATACCTTTTAAGGTGAGTTATGTTCTACTTTCTCAGCAATTTGACTCCGCCTTT